CTTATTTTTCCACATCAGTTGCATCTAGGAGATTGATTTCTCAATTAGGAATTGAGACAGAAATGGACTGAACATGGATTCTGAAACCGACTCGAAACTGTAGGTAATATTAGAAATTTATATTGAGCTCTTGAAACGAAACCACTAACTTATTGCCAAGATATCGTTTCGATACTTCTCCACATTCTGAACTGCCGCTGCAGCATTGCTATTACCATCAGCGTCCTTAAATTGCAAATGAAAATTTCACCTGGTTCTTAAGCCAAGCCGACTTTCAAAGTTAGGAACACATAAATATACCAGGTCAATGAATATGAAAGGGCACTAATATAACTTACCTTGGAATTACTTTCCTCTATAACAACCTGCTTCATTTCCTTGACAATCTCGCCACCGGATGCCATTTTAAAATCTTCTATTGATGCAAGACCTTGTCTTTCCCAACTAAAGAAAACAATTAGTGATGCTAATGGAATTGACAAGCGAAAAATACCATTTCGGCTTTTTTGGCTTCCCTCCGTTAACGAGCTGCATGCCTTTGCAAGAAGTGGACGCTATTGCATCGTGTAACTCTTTGTCATTGTCCCTTTTCCTGTCCTGAACAGCATGGCTTTAGTTCATGATGTGAAACAGGAAGAAAACTCATCAGACTGGGAAAAAATTCTCGAGGATGGCCCAAAGTATGTGAACGATATCACACCTGCTATACACTGCCCAAAAAGGCAAAGGCACCGCACGGATAAACCGAACTCGGAGGAGCGGACGAGTCTAAAGCGGCGGCCATACTTTACAACTGTTTTGCAAGTCGTTTTGCAGCTTGTGAAGCAGATACTCATCGACGAAGCGACACTGCATGCTTATCGACTCTACGAAAAATCACAAGATCACAAATTACGACCGTGACCAGAGGCTTCATATGAATGATGGTGATTTGAAACGAACACATGAAAGTGAATGCTCACGCACTCAATGCCGCACTTTTCAGTGAACGCTGATGAGAGGGTCGTCTTTTCGCTGCTCTGGTGTTCTCGAATCTGCGTAAGTTTAGAAGCGACCAGTGAGAACGCCGTCACCGGGTTCGACTCGGGGTGAGAAGAACTGGCGGGGCAAAACTACTGACGCTTCATGAACGTTATAATGTGTATAAAAATTATGGATGGTCTGCCAAAGCGATGGCTCTATTATGTTCACTCACTGAGTGATTACTTATACTCGATATCGGTGAGTTGGGGTGGGCGTGTCACCGGAAGTGACGTGCACTTGATAGAAACTATGTGGATAAGCTGCTTCCAACATACATCGCTGGATATCAGCAAAGCATGCTGGCAACAGCTTATCCACGCACTTCTATCAAGTGCACGTCACTTCCGGTGACACACCTACCCCAACTTTCGGATATCGACTGTACTTCATTTTTATGGTTGAAATCAAATTACTGTACTCATTCGGTGGAGCTTTGCTTTTGTCGTAAAGCAAGTAACTTTAGAAACCCTGAATCCCCTCGCGGATTCCTATGCCAATTACTATTGCCATGTCCCAGGCTCTCAATTGCCTCCAAAAACTACTGGATTATGAAATTTCGTTGTATCCAAACCTCGAGTTCAGTTCCAAAGAGGTATTCGTGGATATAAAGGAATTTCCCACTGAATGGTGAATAATTCAGAAATCAGCATTTGTCTGCACCTACAGACAATACGCTTTTCTCACGACATGTCGTCATTTTACAGTACCCAAGCACTGCAATGGTTCCACGCTGGACATTCAAATTTCTTTCGGCCAACAGCCATACGCCGATCATTGTTTTCCTCCATCTTTGTGATGACTGACCCTTTGGTGCCTGCTGCTAACTGCGTGATTGATCGATGGTTACAGGATGCATTTCGGGCCTATTTTGTTGACGTTCTACTCGCTAAGCCTTTTTGTCAGTGCAAAAATTGACCATCAAGACGTGAAGCATATTCATAAGACAGCAACGAAGCCCAGAATGGAAGCCGCTAACAAGCACATCGATTTGATCGACATACGGAAGTCATGTGAGTCTTTTCTATTTTTTTTGTGCAAGTATTCTGCAAGGTTATTGATTGTGGCAAATAGGTGGGTATTCCCAAAAGTAATTTCTCTTTTTCTGTGTTATAATTGCGAAAGGTGGTCTGATGCTGTGTCAGTTGGGTGGACACGTCGACTTTTGATACTTATCTTATCCATTTTTATTGCATGTACATCAGGTACATAGATCAGCCTATGAACAAAATGTCTTTACACACCTGA